TCCCTCCCTGTCACAACAGTTCTTGAACTCTATCCTCGTCATGTCCCTTGGAATCCCAAACAGCAGCAGCTCCAACTTGTCTCCGTTCCACAGTTTCTGCTTTCATCCTCCCGGCTTGTTCACCATCCTCGTGATCTCTACGGCAACTGGACCGTGGCCACTTGTTTTTCGTGTTTTTTCAGGAAAGTATACGGAATACTCGGCCTTCCCAATCCGAGTGTCCGGTGGGGGTTGTGGTTCCTTTCAGTTCTTTTGCCGGCTCACCGACGCTAAATAGCGCCTCCAACATAGGCTCGTAGTCTAGATCCAATTTCACACCTCCTGACACAAGTACCCCAGTCTTGTGCCGGGCGCTCTGCTTAGTTAACACCCAGACGTCCCCCGACCACCCAATTTATCATCTCCGAAGTCCCGCGGTACAGGCTACTTTCCTCCTGGGAGGTCATTTTCACCACAATAAGTTCAGGGACGACTTGCATAGCCTGAGATCCTACTCACACGCCGGGACGGAGCGTACACCAATGTCCAGCTTCTCATGTACGCTCCACCATGGGATGCTACCCCACTTGTGCTCCCGAGAAGACCTATCTGCCGAAAGTTTGGCCAACAATTCCTTACTGCTTTATACTCGCCTCTCTCCAATCAGAAACAATGCATTGTGCGTGCCGCACATCTAGCTCCGCAATTTTCGCGTGGTTGGTCTGGTCGTTCAGCTTGCTCGACGTGAGTAATAAGCTTTGCTTTGATGGCTCTATGTTTTATTGATCCACTTCAAGCAACGACCACCCTCCCCCCCGAACTCCGTCCGATCCATTTTGGATCTCACGCCGGAGAGTTTTGGGGTGTCTTAGCTCTAAGTTGTCCACCGCCCAATGGGGAACTCTATTTTCTGTTTTAATGCCGTACCAAAAGGCATTAACCTTAGGTAAGCTTGTGCTTACTTTGGACTGTACTCTCCTCATCCTCTGGGGGGGGTAGAGAGGGGGGGGGTGCATGGCCTCTATTTTTAAGGGGGGGTTTTCGGGCATGGGTTGGGGGTCCGGTTTATGTGTACTGCATTCTCGAATTGTCCCCTCGCTATTGCTACCGTGGATTTTCAGTATACAGCTATCCTCACTCAACGTGTCTATGTGTCCGGCAATCCCCGATACAAATCAGCCTGTGAGGTTTGAGTATGCAGCTTCCCTCGCTCAATGCGTCTATGTGTCTGGCAGTCGCAAACGTCACTCAACCCCTCAGGTCTCAATATGCAGCTATCCCCACTATGCGCGTATATGTGTCTGGCAAACTCTAAAGCCAATCCATCTGTGAGGTTTCAATATGCAGCTTTCGTCACTTAACACGTCTATAGGTGTCCGGCAATCTCCAATGCAAATCACCTGTGAGGTTTCAGTATGTGTCTTTCCTCACTCAAAGCGTCTATGTGTCCGGCACAATCCAACATCACTCAACTCATGAGGTTTCAGTATGTAGTTCTCCCCACTCAGCGCGTCTATGTGTCTGGCAATCTCAAACCTCACTCAACCCTTGAGGTCTCAGTATCTATGTGTCGGCAATCTCCACTACAAATCACCTTTGAGGTTCATTATGTGTCTATCCTTACTCAACGCGTCAATGTGTCCGGCACTCCAACATAACTCAACCCGTGGGGTTTCAGTATGCAGCTATCCCCACTCAACCCGTCCATGTGTCTGGCAATCTCAAACCTCACCCAACCCTTGAGGTTTCAGCATACAGCTATAATCACTCAACACGTCTGTGTGTCCGGCAATCTCCTACATCACTCAACCTGTGAGGTTTCCGTAAACAGCTATCCTCACTCCTCGCATCCATGCGTCACGCGTCTTTGGTAGCGCATACTATGGGGGCTATATTTGGGGTGGCGTGTTTTACGGCGCTTTGCCAACAGCGCCAACCCACTGAAGTCTAGAAAGGAGGTGGAAGGGGCTCCGCAAAAAAAACACTCCCCCCTCGTCGTATTTAGACTCGCCGAATATCTCACGGCGCTTCGCGCTTGGTGATATGAGAGCCTGGTCCGGTGAAAACCCGGCGTGCTCCGTCCCGGCTTTGTAGGGGCGCGAGGTTAATCGTCTAACGACTACGGCACGCACGACTATGAGTACACCTCCCCCCACCTCGTCGCACAGCTAATAATGCACTTACGGGAGGGCGGTGGGGTGGTGGGAGAGGGGGGAAATAGCAAGAAATAAGAGGGGCTGCGGGGTGCTTCTTATTTTACACACACTCCCGTAACCCCTCGTTTTTTATTTAGTAAGGCAGAAGTCGCCGCTGTTTCTTGTTGTGTGACCCAGGCTGAGCGATGTTCCTTAACCCTATTTTTTATTTTTCGTGGAAAAGTGAGCCTCAGTTGCTTTTTTTTTTATTCTTGATTACGGGCGCTAACTGTAAACTGACAGCTCGGTGTGGTGAACATTGGGGGTTGTGGCAGTACAGAAGTACAGCAGCAATGGATAGCGCAGCCCGCGGCGGTGCTGGGGCGCGGGGGCCGCCGCGAAATGATCACTCTCTACCCCTTCCAAAAAACTACATGGCATGAGCTAGGTAGTAGGGGATGGGAGCATGGTAGCCGCAGCAGCAGCAGCAGCAGTGAGTGGGACGTCTCTTTGGACACGCGCCCCGAGCTTCTACCCCCTGTTTCTTATGTCTTGGTATCGCACGATCATCTTTCTTATTGGGACGTTTCTTTTGTTGTGGCCAAGATTGAGCTGAGTTTTTTAGGCCATTTTTCTTATTTTCCGTAAATACTCCGGCCGTTTTTTCATATTTGAACTTTTCTCAACTGCGGGCCCCGTCCGTACGGAAGCAAGTCACCCTTTTGTCTGGCAAGGAGCTCAGATCAGATACTTTGGGGGAACTGTAGCCCCTCGCTCGACGAATGACAGATTTGCGTAGAATAGGGTAAAATGTTATCATGAACGGAGGAGAAAGGGCTTTTCCAACACGGAGATGTAGCATGGATCAAAGCATTTGTTGGATATCATCTTTTACAAGAGGACATCAACGCAGTAGTTTTTTAGCAAGCTTACGAACGCATGTAGGATACCATGAGGATTGTCATTGGTTTTATTTCAAACTGAAGAGGAGATATTTTTACGATGTAAGTGACAGTAGAAACAGGTCCTAATACATATGTTGTTGCACTTTGTATTTTATTTATTTTTTGCCTTCCGACAATTGCAGATGTTGTTGTACTTCGTATTGGTTTAATATTCATGTAGAGTATGAGATATTAAGTGAAAGTTTTCTGAAATACATCTGCAATTGTCGGAAGGCAAAAAAAAAAAACAATGGCTGAAGAATATATTTTGCAGCATTCTTTTTTTGTGGAGGGACTGGGTGTCGCGTGTGTGCTCTCTCTGATCTCCTAATTTTTAGTCGGCGTTCCGGCCATTGCGTTTGTAGCCTGGGGTAATCACGGAAGGCATGCGCGGCAGGTGGACCGGTACGGATCAAGCCTAGAGTATTCTACACAGCCGTAGTGTAATGTACAGAGAAGAGATCGGAACCGATTTTTTAGGTCAAGTCAAGACAACGACACAAGCCGACAAGGGGGGGGGGGGGGGGGGGGGGTACTCATAGTCGTGC